ATAACTCCAGATCCAAATAGTGCGGGACTGCGGGTATTTCAAAACATCTTGCCTTATTGGTGGAAAAATAAACTTCCAGAGACGCACAAATTCTTTCGTGCTAAAACCAAGAGAAAACAGATTCCTTATAAGTTGTAACAGNGGACCCCGGGAAAACACCATTGCTTTCAAACAAGTGGATGGACTTTGTTAGTTGCAATTAAAAAGTTATAAGAGAAATGGAAACAAAAATTACCTCATAGAGCCACCAATTGGGGCTGATGATTCATCCACGGGTTGTGTAGTATTCTTTCTCTTCAATTGCTCTCCCTGTCATATTCAGTGTGTCAAAAGAAAAAGTGAAGAAAAGCACCAAGGTTTACTAGATCTACAAAGATGCAATTTAAATTTTCTAAGTCACATTTCATGACTAACTATATATATTAACTTTCTTATATTATTCTTAATCACCAACATGTGGGATTTTACTGGGTATGTTGTTTGTTTTCTTAATCACCAACATATTCATTTATATTGCTTCCTTAACAAATAAAATTCACTTGCCAATTATATTTACTGCCTAGTGTGCACTCTTCAAGACAAAGCCTATGGGCGATGAGGCACACGCCTTAACATCCTCGTGCCCACACCAATGTGCCGTATAAGCAAAGCCACCAAGGGCCTATGCTACACGCTTCAAAGAGCATGCCCCCAGCGAGCTTTTACTATAATAGTCATTCACGTATGTTGAAAGCCAATACGTACCTCCATATATACCATTTGTATTAACAAATAAAAGTACTTTAAAAGGGCAATACATGTGAAAATCACACACCATCTTCACATGACTAACATAAATATTGCATGTATGATTGTATGTGCACAAGATCAGACGGGAAATGATAACATGACATGAGCTAAGGCACATTCTTTTGCATCTAGAACTACAACATTATTCAGTGAACATCTCAATTGATCATACCACGAGAAGAGAAAATTAGTCATGTTTTGAAAGTAGAACCTACTTGATGTAAGAATACAACCACCCCAAAGCAATTACTCAACTTTCATTGCACTCCAGTTTAGGCTTAAAATTGGAAGGAAAAGGTAACCATTTATCAATAGTTTGAATGCACACCAAATTAAAGTAATGTTCAATCATTTAAGCGACCATTTATATTTTCCTTTTCTTTGATTTGCTAGCTAAACTTAAATGTTTACACTCTTTGATTGACTTTCTGAAAAAAAAAAATCTGGAAACAATACGCAACTCTAACTTCTTCATCCTCCCTCAGCTGACACGTACACAAACCAGAAGATATTCCTCATCAAATTATGTTGCCGAACCATTTTCTCTTACCACCCCTCTATTCCTTTATCCCTCCCTGGACACACATAAAAAATCTCAGATGACATGCACAATTCCTGTTACAGCTGCACCAATAAGTCAAATGCAGGCAGCCTTATTCTCCATTGTAATGGCTGGAGATGAACCCATCTCCTTCCAGCAACTTCTCCTCACAAAATATATGATCTAAACAGAGATATGGAAGTTTGCAGGATTGCTTTTGAAAGCAAGAACAGATTGGAGAAGTAACATTCATTCAACTACTTCTCCAAATATCCTTCAATTGTGGTGCATGTGCATCAGGCCTCAGGTATTGTCGGTGCTCACAGCTACAAGGGTGCAGTGTTTGCCTGTTTGGTGTTTGCCTATTTGGTGGTTGTAGAGAAAGACGCTCATGGATGCCCATGGTGAGAGATTTGTTCTACTTACAAAATTCAAAAAAAAAAAGATAGTTTTTTGTCAAATTTTAATTGTAAATTTAACCAATACGTTTAATTTCAACTATATTGTAAGAGTTTCTTTCAAAATAAAAGCAAAAAGAAACTTGTGCGTCATATGCACTGATATGGATAGTGTAATGGAGGAATAAAATAACGTTTAGGGCTTAACTTTTCTGCACTTATATGGATAATGTAAAACTGTTTTACACAATTAGGTTATGATCACTACAACATGTGACTATCCAAAATAAGTCTAGTCTGGTATCTTGAAAATAAAGTAAATAACTTGCTATAATAGGTAGGTTAAAGTGCAATGTAAAAAGTATAATGTAAAAATCTTTTTATATTGTAAGAGAATATAAGTTAAAATCTTGGTTTTAATACAGGTAAAGAGGTTACTAACCACTCCATTTGTCCCATTTTATGTGATTAGTTTGACTAGGCACAGAGTTTAAAGACATACTTTTGAAACTTGTGAACTAAAACAAGGCATAAATATTTGTGTGGCTAACTCATCACATTAAAGGTAAAATGAAAAGTTTAAAATTAAATTATTTCTAAATACATAGAGATAATGATCTCATACAAGGCCCAATTGATGGACAAGTGAGTGAAGTTATACATACAAGGCCTAACTAACAAATGCTCTCTTCACCCACAAAATAATCACATAATCTCTCATTCTTATGTTCATCTCATTTAAATTACACATATAGCCATAAAGAATTCTACTTTCATATTTAAAAAGCTGACTAAAAATAAATTGGGAAAAGAGGTACTCACGCGTAACTCAGATGGAGTTTTTCGTTTCACTGTGGTGGCAGTGACCTTAGAACCACCACCCCCACCAAATTTAAGTGCATTTGATGGATGTACGGGACCCGCAGCAGCAACCTTCGCCATCTTCTCTAACTTTAACTAACAAATAACTTCTTCAGATATCACTAATCAAAAAGAAAAACACAGAAATCAGATACCAAAAAATGGTCAACAAATATTATAATCAGTAAAATCACACAAGTGATGTTAATATATCGTAATATACATCTTTTATAAGCTTTTTATTGAATTCATTTGATTTAGCATTTAGGGCAGTGAAACAATAGCGATTTACCTGAGATTTAATCAAAACCTAAGAATCGTACAAGTTCCGAATCATTAGCGATTGCCCTAAATCCAATAAGAGGGAAATTTGCGGCTTTCGGAGAAAGGTTGACCCACGTAGAAGTGATGTTTCCGGTGGGGTAGGGGGAGTTTTGGGGAAGAGGAGAAGTGAAGTGGGAAAATAAAAAGGGGGAGAGGGGAATTTTGGGGGATTTGAACGATTTCAATTTCCCTCGCAACTTTTCGGGCTGACGGCAGCAGACTGGGTATGGGCGATAATTTCACTTTAAACTGCCTCGCTCTATGTTATTTTTCGTAGCGCAATAACAATTCCATTGCACGAATATATATATTAACTACTAGTCTCAAAGTATTCTATCTCAATGGTCAGATAAATACCCAGTATCGGCATAACCAACAAGATCGGGATTGCAATCATCGCCATAAAATAAGCTCATATCGGTAGTCCCTTTTAGATACCGCAATACGTGTTTGATTCCATTCCAATATCTCATTGTAGAAGCAGAGCAATATCTTGCTAAGACATTAGCTAAAAAAATTATATTAGGCTTTGTAGTGTTAGCAAGATATATCATTGCACCAATTGCACTAAGATATGACATTTCAGGACCAAGAAGGATCTTTATTTATATCGAATGATATCACAACTATCGGGATACTCAATGGATGTGCTTTATCCACATAGAATCGCTTTAAAATCTTTTCAGTGTATGTTGATTGATGGAAAAAATTCCATCTTTCATATATTCAATTTGTAGGCTAAGACAAACTTTTATCTTTTCAAGATCTTTCATTTCAAAATCTATCTTTTAAACAGTCTAATGCTTTAGTAAGCTCCCCAGGAGTTCCAATGATATTTAATCATCAACATACATGGCGATTATAACAAATTCAGATCTAGATCTTTTTATAAAAACACAAGGACAAATTCAATCATTCTTGTACCCTTCTTTCAACAGGTACTCACTCAGACGATTATACCACATACACCCTGATTGTTTCAATCTGTATAAGGATTTTTGAAACATTATTTAATAAATTTCTTAGAAACCTTAATATTCTTCAGAGCAATTAAATCCTTCAATGATTTCCATTATTCGCATATCAAGTTTTTCATGTATTGCCACATTAAAACCTGAAATGACTATATCCATATAGTCAATGTGAGGATATTTACTAATTTTCTTGTGCCACAAATCGTCTTTATGTCTATCGACTTGAACTTTTCACACAAGAACACATTTATACCCCCATTGACTTTATACTTTCAGGTGTTGGGACTATCCGTCCAACTTCACATTGTTATAGACCATTTTAAACTGGTTAAAATAAGGTACAACATATGGGCAATTTCAAATTTGATTGAAGTTAAAGAGTCGCCACCTAATTAATTATGGTGAATTAGGACACCTAATGTTGATTAAAGTAATTTAAAGAATAACTTTGTTAATGGTCTACTTAACCTAAAGGTTCTAGGTAAGGGTTCAATTAATTTAAAGCGAAGGTTTTTAAAGCACCCTTTAAGATCCATTTTAAATGGTTAACAGACCGAGTAAACCACCAATGTGTTTTTGTTATAGTATGTGGGAATAACTTATCTAAAAATGGCATTCCTAATAATATATCTTTATTTGTGAATTCATAACTATATATTTCTTCTACGGTTAATATTTTATCCCATATTTGTATTTTTAGATTCTTTGCTTTGTATGTTATCATACTTCCCTCATTGTTAAATCCTGTTACTACTATGGGGTTTTTTAGCTTTTCCCATTTATTTTCTGGTAGACAATTATGTTTACACATGTTAGCTTCTGCTCCTGTACTTAAATTAATTAAGGCTGAATATTGAGTGTTGAGAGTCATTTAAAGGATCCAGATTCGATGTCTAAACTCCAAAAAAATCATGTTGAGATCTGAAAGAAAAACTGATTTGGACGTGTATTTTACAAATATTTTCGATTAAAGTAGGTCAAGACGTGAAGGAACGTGATTTGAAAACGTCATTATATCTTCACTTGGAAACGTAATAGGAAAAACCATTTCTGGTGAAGATGGATGTAAACTTGACTGACTTCAAGTGAAAGGTCTAGTTTTTAAGTCTTTTAAAATGCTACTATAATCCTTTAATTTCATGATCTAACATTAATATTCTCTAAAGCTATATATGCAAGATAATTAAAAAACCACAAATATGCTATACTTAAATCATCACACACGGAACGTAAACAAATACAAATAACACATTAGTAGTCAAAACACATAAAGTATAAGGCAAGGTTAATCAGCAAGATATGAAAGGGAATATCCGCTATTTTCTCTCGCAACTCCTCGATTTCTCTGTTCGATTGTGTTTCAGAAGAGCGAGCGAAATAGTGAAGAGGAATGAAGAAGAGATGCAAGTTCTTATTCCAACGGCGATGTCGAGTCACATTGAATCCCTCATTGGGACTCTTTGCACTCCGTCGATCATGCAAAACAAGAGAAAGATAAAAGAAAAATGGGTAAAAGGAATCTAATTCAAATAATCATGGAAAAAAAATGCCTAAAGTAAAACATCATATAACTTTATAAAATTGCGCCATAACAGATACTACAACATCTCATATTAATAGAAAAGACAAAGAACCTAAATCTACCTAACAAAAATTAAATCTTACACATTCACAAGAAACGGACAAAGGAAGGGGTACTATTGTTGTACAATTTTAAAAGTTTTTAAACTACCTAACAGAAATTAAGGGAGTTTTTCCAATTAAAGTGACATTAATCGAAATGGGATTATTTAATTTAATTTCAGAGTCGCCACTTGGAATAGTTTATTTGGGTGTCCCAAGTCACCGGTTTATTTTAAATCCCAAATCGAGGAAAATTTCGACTTTATTAAAAAGTCTCCGAACCAGAAATTCTAGATAAGGAATTCTGTTAACCCGGGAGAAGGTGTTAGACATTCCCGCGTTCCGTGGTTCTAGCACGGTCACTTAAACTATTAATAATTGGCCTATTATCTGATTAATTGCATGTTTTAAACCTATTATGCATTTTTAACTTTATTACCGATTTTAATTATTTTAAACCGCTTTTTAGGATTTATGGAATTATTTCTTGAACAAGTTACGATTGTCGTACCCTTGCCGTTATGGAACACATCGCAAATCACGCTACATGAAATGCACCCGCGATTTACGACATGTTTATTTTTATTAATGTTTGAAGTTGTTATGATCGGGTCACGTGAAATGTGCACCCAAATTTGGGAATTAGGTATCATGATTATGCCATGGGAACCGTACCTGTAGTCACGATGATTTATTAATCGCGCCTAAAGCAAACTACGAAATTCATTGCTTGGAGACCAAACTTCCTTTTCATTTTTCACAACATCCCTGAGATAATTCGACTAACACAGGAGAACAAGTACTGAGAATCTAGAGACCATTATAATCTAGATATTCTGTATTTTAGTTGTGTTTATCTTCATTATAAACAAGACGAACCAGACATAACCAATCAATTGAAAGAACCAAACCTTGAAATTAGAAACCACGTATGTCAAAAACCTGGCTTCACTAGTCGACAACTAACAACTCACTTGCCAAGAAGTGCTAAAGCCAGAATGAAGATTGCTTTACCATATGGAGAACAAGAAGTACATACGTGGGAATTCTAATTCACATAAAGCAGATTTCACTTCAACAAATTGTAAAGATGCTTGAATATCTCATTGTAAAGCAACGATCCACGACTAAGATTATCAAGTGATGCAAGTATATGTCACTGTAATTATACTTGTTCTCCGAGAAATCTTTGTTGGCAGCCCCTTCCAACAATCAACGGCTTACAGAGTTCACATCAAGCCTTTTAATTACAATCCTTAATGAAATCAACAAGGAATAAGTAATTTTACTATAATTACAGCATTTATAACAATGTCCAAACATAAACAGAAGATGCTCAGCTCTTAATTCAAGTCTGCCAATCCCACAGTTCATTCAATCCGACTTTTGGCTTCAAATATAACAGCCTGACCAATTAATGACTAAGTCTGTAAGTCACAACTATACAAGACAAGAACAAAACTCTTCTCATCACCCATTACTACACAGCTTTTTATCAAACATAAGGATCACAATTTCATTTTAATTAAAACTCATGCTTAACAATCAGGATATGCAAATCAGCAAACAAAAAAACATTAAACTTAGCATGTAAGAACATGATTCACGTTTCACATACTGTCAGTCCAAAATGAACACGTTGTCATTTGATTCGAATGATGAATACATAATCAGAAGAGTGATTAATACCTGGAAAGCAGTAGTAAGACTTTAAAATAGCCAAATAAAGGCCAGAAATAACATCAAATTGGGGTTCAGCTATTAATTGAAGGAGGAACAGCAACAAACAGCAGAAAATCCAAGCTGAATCCACTTCGAAACCCAGAAATGCAAGAGAAAACTACAGCTCTCTAAATAGCTACAGCTTATGAATTGTTTTCAGTATTTCCATACCTAAGTTTTTTTTTGAATTTTTTCGTTTTGAATTTCAGGCTGCTATTGTGTGTGTGTGTGTGTGTGAAGTGAGAAATGGGTGAGAATCAGGTGAGAGATGAATGACTTCTCTGAATACGAGAGTGTGTTTTCTGCAGATGAGGTGCGACTGAGTTCTTTTTTGCGAAGATGGAGATGGTTCTGTGTTTTTGAGAGCAAGGGGTTAGAGGGGGGTCTTGGGCTGGTTCAGGTCGCGGGCTGGGGTGGAGTTTGGTTTGGTTTGGTTTGGTTTGGATTGAATTGGATGATTAAAAATCAATTGTACCATTTAGGAATTAGCCCAATTTAAAAATAAGACCGAGAAATTTAAAAATAGCCAGATTTACAACTGGTCATTCAAAAATAGCCCAATTTCAAAAGTA